TATGGATATATAAACCCATATTATTTTTGCATATAGCGAGTATGTATATATTTACATTCGTGTGATTGTACATACATATATGTACTTGCATACCTATACATATGTTTGTAAGTACAGATGTACTTATGTGTAGTTTGAAGTCACACATTTTCCTCTACTCAGCTTTCGCTGACGTGTGTTCTCCGCGCCGCAAAGACTGTCATGCAATGTAAGGTGAGCTACATAAGTATATGTGGTTTTATTTTTCACTGTTTTGCCTGGCTTTACTTGCCCAATTCGTCGACGCTGCCATTTAGAACTGGCTTTTCGTAGTTAAAATAATAATAATAATAAGAATAAGAATAATATTATTGAAATGGAAATGAAAGCTTAGCTATATGCAAATCCAGCGCCATACAATGTGCTTCAAATGGTTTGGTAAAATATTTTGGATAAAAAATACTTTTAAGAAGAGTGGCAAGAATAGTTAAAAAAGGGTCGTGGTACATATTCACTTGGAAAGGTGTGTAGTTCGTAGTATTCGAGATCATTTGGCGTGTAAGTAAATCATAAGTCGAGAAATAAGTAGGCAGTTGCATACAATTCTGTATTCAAATAAGCGAGCGATTCAAGTCAACGACAATTCAAAGGCTGTTTATGGTATGTAGTATGTACAAATGTGTACCTGCATTCAGGTACAAGTACATTTACTGTATACCTGTATTCTGGGCTATCGCTGAAACCATCGTAGTCCGATTTTCGTAAAATGTACGAAAACGCGATCACTGAATCCGAATTGCTACGAACGTATGCACTCAAAGTGTATGCTTCGTTCGTAGCTATTCGGATTCAGTGATAGCATCTTCGTAGATTTCACGAAAATTCGGACTACGACGGATTCAGTGTTAGCCCAGGTTATCTTTTCGGTGATTCTCTGTTCACGTAAATACGTATCTACATATATATGAGCATATATATCTACTACATTTGACGAATATGAGGGGACATGAGTAATATAGAAAACAATGCGATGACATCATTGAACCATTCGCAGTTTAAACAGCTGCTTGGAACTTTACACTCTCATTCCCGCCAAACATATTTATGTACATACATACATACATACTTGTTAAGTACATATGTAGCTATATATTCCAACGATATGTACATGTGTATGTAGGTATATCCAATTGTAGGCACGTTTGAGTGGATGTAATGTAATGCCTCCATGTAATAGATATATATTTCACCCATAACAATTGTCGGAACATATGCATATACATATATGAATGCATCCAAATGCATATGTTTTTATGTATGTACATTTATAGTGTGTAAACCGGTAAATCGTTGATCCCCTTAAAACGTTGCAGGCTGCAACTTTTACACCACCATCAAACAAAAATACTAATTGAAGCATGCAGTAATCGGGTGTTTGAATAAGCTATCGAATAAAGAAGGTATCCATGCAGGCTTACACACATGTACATACATAAGTATCAAGAAACCAGAAAACCTGCCCCTTATTACAGCATACATTTATCAGAAGTGCATACACTAAACGTATGCATTTATGTACAAAACATGCATATGTATGTATGTTTGTATGCACGTATGAATGGAAATATCCATACAACCACACATTTGGCCGCACCATTCCATCTACCGTTGCACGCTAAGCTCGCAAGTTGCATAGAATTACCGCTTTCACTTAATCGCATTGGTCGCTGGTAGACTTTTAAATTGTTGGGGTGTTCTCTGTTTTTTCCTACAATTGAAATTGCATGGCCATTCTATAAATGATCCGCTATTCGTCACAATTGTGGGTTAATCTGAGTGAGAAATCGTTTTCAAAGTGGGAGATGTGTTTATGTCACGTGATGGTGAAAAAGATATATACACACAAATTCACATACTATATGCATACAACCACGTATCGCGGTTCTTGCGAAATTTCGTAACTGACTTTTGCGCCAAAAATTAGATTGACTCACCGAAAGCTCCTGACATGAAGCCTTATCCATTCATTCCAAAATATCGATATTTAGATACCGGTTTGAAATAAGATAGGTTTTAAATTTGGGCAACTCCAAAAACGACTGGAGTAACATTTTATTTTGTAAATCAGGTGGCGTATGACCGTTTTGTTAGCCAAATTATGACAGGTATAACCATGGCAAGGAACTTTTTTACCTCCAGCTTAACCGGGACGACCCAGATACACAGCCTGCATATGTATATATCTGTGCATAGTCTATCGATCATCGGTATCCAAAATCCTTTGGGCAATAATAATGCCGTTTCAATAACAACAACATATCAACGTAGCCCCATCCGTCGGATTTGAAAGAGTTATTCAAAAATAGTCAGTTGGATTTCGCCAAACACTATCGTTGGATCGATGTTTCGAAAGAATATTCCGTCAATATGTCTACTGACTAAAATAACAGCCTCATTGCGAGAGTCGTTTTTCGAGAGCCGAATCGTATCGAAAATTGTATGACATTGCCGAAAATTTCGACTCGACTAGTGTATTAAAACCGCACTGCATATTTTTCGACGATTTTCGTCTTTTACTTATTTCAGCACGACAGTAGACAATACTAATGTTGTCGAGTCGTACAATTTAGCCTAATTTACGACTTACGCAATGAGGCTGTAAAACATTTTTTTTAATACATATGTATGTATGTATTACGTGCTGAATGCCTAGACAAAATTTTTAGGGGTTGTACTTTGATTGAAGCCCAATTTTTTAGATTTTTTTTTTTAACAAGGACTGTAATTAATTTATTGATGTATGAATATATGTATGTATGTATGTTTGGATGGAAATTTGTTGAATTTTTGTTTAGTTTTATACAAAGATTTACACTTGGGTTTATATATCAAATGAATGAACTGTATTTTAATTTAAAATTCTTAAGAAAACTAAATAAATACGCTGATAATGTAATAAATAGAGGTCGTAACTCATTTTCTTTCTTTACAAAGTTCGATAGATTACTAACTAAGGGCCTAATAGAATTTGCAAACCTGTTCTATATTAATCAATTAGTTTCAGTGTTTATTAAAACCTAGGTTTTTGAAGAGATTCCCAAATTAAAAATTTTAGTTTTTATAAAGTTTTATAAATATTCTATAGGCTTAAAAATTTTAGTAGGGGCTTTCTAAATTAAGGTAGATACATATATGCGAGTTAGACCTCGTGCAAATTACTAAACATATGTACATACACATGTACGTATTTATTTACAGTATTGGCCATATCTATAGCACCCCCATTTCAAAGCGATATTGTTTGGCACTTATGTTTAATTATTAATTTTTAAGAATTTTCAATTGAAATATAGTTGATTCTCTAACAAAACTCATATAGACCCGAGCTTTAAACTTGGTAAAAGACTACAAAAAAACTCAACAAAGTTTTACCTAAACTTTAACCTTTTTTCTCAGAAGTGCTAGAATTTTTTTGAGTACGCAGGCTAAGAAATACCGTTGATTTTTTAGATTTTTTTTTATCGCATTTGCTTTCATATAATGAATAAACGCAATTAATTTTTATATGGAAGAAACCCGCAACACCTTCGGCGACAAAAAATCTAAAAAACCAACGGTGACTTGAAACTTGCACATTGTTAGACTAAAATTTAATGGGCTATAAAACAGCGTACTCACAAAAAAGTCTAATACTTCTGAGAAAAAAGTTTGAAATTTTGGTGGTTTTTGAATTTTTTTTTGTAGTTTTCTAAAAAGTTTCAAACTTGGGTTAATATGGGTTTTGTTAGAGAATGAACTGTATTTTAATTGAAAGTTCTTAAAAATAAATAAATAAACATGAGTGGGAAACAATACCACTTTGAAATGGGGGTGCTATTGTATTGGCCAATACTGTATGTACCGAGCTTTTGAAGGTCGCCGTATGCATCTTTTTGCGAAGCCAGATGCATGCCATTGAGGGTCACCATTTGCCGCGCTTTTATGTTTATGTGCAAGTACATATGTACATACCTCTATATGTATATACATACATTAATGTAATAGTTACATACATATGTACAGTACAAAACCTTCACATCCCTGCAGGGAAACCGCGGACTGGTGCATAAAATTTCTAGTTCCGTACAAGAACTTTATCTCCAAAAACGAACCAGTCCGATAGTAAGTAGATCCCCACCAGTTCAAAATCAGCGAAATGTGGAACTCATAAAAAACATATTTTATTTCTCGTTTTTCATTAGAAATCTATATCTAAAGTGACGAATTTAGAACTGGTTCGGAATTATAGAGAAAGGGACGCAGAACGAACTAGATCTTATCTGTCGAATTTAGAACTAGTTCGAAACTATCGAAAAAGGGATGCAGCGGGGGGCTTGTTTACTTTACATAGATATGTGTTTGGCGGTTTTTTCGTTCAAATGCACTTTCATTCTGCACTTCGCAGATGCTATTTCATAGTTTGGTAATAGAACACAAAACTTTGTATTAACATATTAATATCTTGGGGCCTTCTCGAATCTAACCAATAACAACGAGCACCTCTGCAAAGTCAGCTACAGCCAAAGGTATGTAAACGTACATTTCTTACAATCATTCAAACAAATTTAATTTCAAATCGAAAAAACGTTTCTTTAAAAATCATGATGCTTTTTTCTTTCGTCTGGGGATTTTAAAACTGGTTCGGAACTATAGAATTTAGAACTAGTTCGGAACTATCGAAAAAGGGATGCAGCGGGGGCAATTGACACTTCCTAGGACATCGCCATGTTAGATTCCCCAGTTGTTTGTATGCAAAAGAGATTTATCGCGAACCAGTGCTGGGTCTAAACGTACTACAGGCGCACCAGTTCAGAACTAGAGATTTTCCCCACAGGGATATTGCGCCAAGTACCTACAAAAACTCATTAAAATTTAACTTCACACTACTTGGATTATGGTACCATATTAAATGGCAAAACCCTATCCCTCACTTCCTTTTAGATAGTTATACATATAAACATATTGCACACGTAAGTACTTACTTTGCGTTGTGCTTCGGCAGCAAAACCAGACTTTGGTGCACGATTCGATGACATTTTGGCTTTAAACGGGTTTTAGGTTTTGAGATGTATTCCTTTTCTTTGTAATATTCTGTATGTCTGCTGTACTTAGCAAGTTTGCGACAACGTCGATAGAGATTAAGTGTTTGTGTTGGATTACTGGAACAGCGATAGTTGGGATGTATAGTTTTCGGTGTACTATTTCGTTGTTATTATTCACAGCAAACACAAATTGGCGTAGTTGAGTGGGCGTTAAGCGGGATTTTCGGTTAGTTTATTGTATCACAGAGAGCGAACAGACGCATCCACACGCGACGAATTTTTAAAATTTACTGTGACTTTGTTTGGAGCAGATGCCACCAACAGCCGCCAGCTTCGAAAAGGTTTCCACCAATACACAAAAGCTCACTGAAAAGCTTTTAGAATGCCATATCGTTTAGTGCGTAGCTAGAAAAA